TGCACCTGACCAGAACTGGATGAGTGGAAGCTGCCAGCGTGGCAGTGGGAGATTGGACAATGTGATGGGCTGGTGGGTGTGGGGGCAAGATCTTGGACTTTCAACTGGGTGGGGAAAACTGGGAAGTTTTCAGATTCGGGTTTTCCCGGATGTGCCAATATGGCTCTCTTAATCAATTGGAACTTTGAGCAATACTTTGTCTTGGACTCTGATTTACTTTTGGATGCTATTTGGAACCCTGACAAAGAAAAGATCTCTGTTTATTTAAGAATAAATTACAAGGCAAAGCTGCCACAAGCCTTAGAGAAAAGGGGCTAGACCCAAGACAAATGTCTTTAAGTTTTCTTTTTAAAAGTTAAGATAATTTTTCCAAACCCTCTTGTTATCAAAATCGAACATTTCCCTAGTCTGGGGACACTGATGTGACAGATTTCCGCTCTCTAGTCTCTGCTCTTCATCTCGGGAAATCTTCTACAACCTTTCTCCTTTTGTCATACCGGGGTGGAAAGACAAACTTTCCAGGGCACCAATCACTAGTTATCATCTGTTACCTCTTCGGAAGAGTTGCTCATAGCCCTGTCATCTTTCTGCAGCTCTACTCTAGGGCACCTGACCCTTTCCCAAGTCCGGTTCTCAGCAAATAGCTCGGTTGGTTCTCAAAGCTTATTGCTGATGACAACCCTGGCACAATGATAAATCCAGCAAATAATAGAACTGCTTATGCACCGAAGTGAAAAGAGGCAGCATACGCATTTCTCTCTGACTCCAGGCAGTTAGGAACACAGCCAGCGTAGCAGGCAGCTCTGCTTACGAAAACCCCTTTGTATGATTGAGCAATTCTGACTCCAGACCTGTCCTTGTGCTCCACGAATGTAGGCAGTTATCTGAATGCAAGGCCCTCCCTTGCAAACCATTCATCTACCGTTTGCTTACTTATTTATTCTTAGCATTTATCATTCTGTGTGTATACAGGTAGTCCTTGACGTATGACCACAGTTGAGTCCAAGACTTGTTAAGTGAGACATTTCTGAAGTGAGTTTTGCCCCGTTTTATGACTTTTCTTGACACAGTTAGCACTAGCAGTATCGATAGCACTTAAGACTTATATACCGCTTCATAGTGCTTTTACAGCCCTCCCTAAGTAGTGTTCAGTCAGCATATTGTCCCCAACAATCTGGATCCTCATTTTACCCACCTCGAAAGGATGGAAAGCTGAGTCAAGCTTGAACCGGTCAGGACTGAACTGCTGGCAGTCAGCAGAATTAGCCTGCAATACTGCATTCAAACCACAGCGCCACCACTTCAGTTGTTAAGTGAATCTGGTTTCCCAATTGACTTTGCTTGTCAGAAAGTCACAAAGGCTGATCATATATCCTAGTACACTGCAGACATCATAAATGTGAGTCAGTTGCCAATTGTCTGAATTTTGATCACGTGCTGCAATGGTGTGTGTGAAAAGTATGAAAATGGTCATAAGTCATTTTTTTCAGTGACTGTTGAATGGTCGCTAAATGAACTGTTGTAAAGTCGAGGACTACCTGTATCACCAAATAAGTCAAGCCAACCCACAGGCAACCTAATTAAAACAACCAGCCAAGTAAAACAGGGTGAGCGTTATTAAAACTGAAATCACAAAATATTGTTGTTGTTGTTGTTGTTATTGTTCCTAAGTACTTGCTTACAATGAAATTATTGCAAAACACCTGGTCTAAAGGCAGTGAGGTTTGTTGGATGGTTAGCCAATTATAACAATGGGAAAACTACAACACAAGGCAAAGATGGAACACAATAACATAATTAAAATGAAGTTTTCCATCTTAAACAGTTTTTGGAAAGTTTAAGAGGGAGGGAGGCAGTCTTAATTCCAGGAGAAAACTATTTTGTAAGGCTGGATCACGTCTTGGCCTCTATTTTCCTTTCTTCACGAAAGTGAGGTAATGAAACATTTAGCCCAACACCCTTGTGTGTCTGATGTCAAGGTTACAAATAATGTTAAAATACACAGCGATGACATCACAGGGTAAGTATGCAAAACAAGGCATCCCAGATGGAAGATGTATAGCAAAGCCACTCATGGGCTGAACTGAAGCTGTTTGCTGCACTAACAATGTGCATTTGTGAATAATTCACTTGCACACAAACACACTTCTCCTCCCCTTCCGGCTCTTTCAGTAGTCTTCTGTTAAATTTCTCAACTGGAATGATGAGTCATGCCTTTAAGCCATGGTTGTTTTAATTATGCTTTGCTGATTTAGTCAAAATAAGGTGGTTTGCACAAAAATCTTCATCGTCTCAGCCCAAAGTATACCTGTTTGATTAGTACCCTGGGTGAACCCAGATTCAGCATGCTAAGTGGATCTTGTGAACTAAATCAAATTTTGCTGAAATAGGTTTTATTTGTCATTTTTATCTGTCCTCATCACGATTTTCGGGACTGATCATATAGGTTGAATTATTTTCATCGTGTAAAATGAGCCGTCCTTCAAGCTAGAACATCCAAGCAAGTGTAAAATGCTGTAAGAATTATGATGGGCGCTCAAGGGTCTTTACAAAAGACTTACAATGTGATCTGAACTCCATGTTCCCTTGCAGCAGCGGTCAGTAAGCCTGGCTCTTTAACAAAGCAAAAATGCCTCCCCTCTCCTTTGGGGCAGCAATGTGGGTCAAGATTGGAACAAGGGGGGTGAGCTTGTGGTTATGCGAGTCAAAGGAAGGACTATTCGGAGCCAGTTTGGTCTGGTGGTACTTTGTAGCACTATGCTACAAAGTAGGAGACAATGAATTCTAGTCATGCTTTAACCATGAAAGTCAGCTAGTTGACTTTAGGCCAATCGCCAGTGATTTCTAGTCCTGCTTTAGTCATGAAAACTAGCTGGGTGATAAAATGGGGAAATATAATGCAGGTAGTCCTCAACTTAGAACCACAAGTGAGCCCAAAGTTTATGTCGCTAAGTGAGAAAATTTGTTAAATGAGTTTCGCCCATTTTACAACTTTTCTTACAACATTTGTTAAGGGAATCACTGCAGTTGTTAAATTAGTAACACAATTGTTAAGTGAATCAGGTTTCCGCATTGACCTTGCTTGTCAGTAGGTCTCAAAAGGTGATCACATGACCCTGGGAAACTGCAACTGTCATAAATATGAGTCAGTTGTCAAACATCCAAATGTAAATCACGTGACCATGAGGACGCTACAACGATCATAAGTGGGAAAAACAGCCACTTTTTTCAGTAATGATGTAACTTTGAATGATGACTAAATGAATTGTCGTAAGTGAAGGACTACCACCTGTATTATATCATATATCAATAGCACTTAAACTTATGTACCGCTTTATAGTGCTTTACAACACAAAGCTGTTTAGAGTCAACATACATACACATTCATTCATTCATTCATTCATTCATTCATTCATTCATTCATTCATTCATTCATTCATTCATTCATTCATTCAAGGACACTCCTGGGAAGGAAGTCATTTGCCTAAAGAACCTCGGAGAACCTGGTTCTCAAATTCTTTAGCATCTTCACTAAATACTCTGATTAATGAGCTCTACCGGAAATCACTTGCTTTATTTTTTAAAAAAAACCAAAACCTTCCCATGTGCATATAACTGCACTATTCTAACAATCTACAGAACCTATAGATCCAGAGAAATATGGATATCTACAGAAATGGTTATTGCCTTACATTTCTTCAGAGAAATGTACTGTTATTTCTGTTAACTTTTATTTTATTTACTAGATCTGTTTCTCATGGAATATAAAGAGTGTATAAAACTGTATTTCCAAAAGCAGCTAAGAATGCCAATAAATGCAAATGTTTACCTCTGTTAGAACGGCCTTCTTCAAAGCCAGCCCTGAAAAAAAAGAAGAACATGGTGAGGAGATGAACATAAAAATAATCTGTTTTTACAATCCCATTCCTAACCTAGGTAGAAGCTCTGGGGTGAAAGCTGCCAGAAAACATGGCTTCCCTCTGTCCTTCTTAAAGGAAACTTCCAAATCTGCAATCAAACTTTCCCATTAAAAATTCATTTTGTCCAACTCAAAATGATCAGGATTTCCCCCCCTTTCAACTATTCCCTTCTCTCCCATCTTTTTAAAGCTGTGGCTTTTATGTATGTCTACAACTGGACATGCAAAATATTTCAACTCTCAACTATTTCAAATTCAAAATAGCGGATTCAAATTTGAAATTAACTGTTCCAACCTTGCTGAAATGTTCCAGCACGAATTCTGATCAGAACAGTTATGTTCCAAGCTGCTGTTTTGAAGTCGGAATATTTCCAGAGTAGCAATGAAACATCAAGCACACCATGCTGTTTGCTATTAAGCAGCCTCTATTAAAGATAATGGGATTTTCTTCTCAATAAAACAGAGGTGTGGGCTGGAACATTTTATGGAGTAGAAATTTGCCTCCAAAATTTTTCCACCTCAGGCAAGTTTGGCAGTTTCAAAGTTGGATAGAATTTGCTACCAATAAAGGAGAACGTCTGTAGCTCAGGGTTGAAATGAGGGATTCTTGGTGCTCTCTGAGCTTGCTTGTTTTCTTGCATATATTTCATTACCCAATTAGGCAACATCATCAGTGCACTGATGTTATCTACTTTGGGTAATAAAATGTCTGCAAGAAAACAACCAAGAGCGTCAAGGACCCCTCACAGAATGTGTTTTTTTCTAGGTGACTGCTCAAAAAAGAAAAAAAAGTTTGAAACATGTCCATCTCCCCCCTTGCGTCAAATAATTTAGCCCACGTCTTTGAACAGGATGTAGATACTGAATATGGTAATCAGAATTCTATTCATTTGCATAGGAAAAATATTCCCATTCAATCTTTTCTGGAACCGCCACATCCCTGTAAGTAAATGAAGCAGATTACTTGGGAAGCTTTCTACCCATTGCCAAATTGTCACATTCAAGCCATCAAATCCCATCTCAATTCTTCCACCTACATTTCAGGAGGAGCCTTAAGAAGGCCAATAATGACTCTGAATAACAATACTCATTTCTCCACCCAGAAAACTGGTGTTCCCAAAAGAAGTCTCATCTGTCCTTCATTCAACATTTATTTATTTATGCCAGGTGCTTATAGGATTACCCAGCTTATGCACCGTAACTGTGGGAGGCTCACACCACCATAAATAAAATCAAAGGAAACAATTAAACCAACACCCACAAATCCCAGTTTTCAAACAAAAGAAACCTAAGGTTTGTGATTCCTCTCTGCCCAATACGACTACAATTGGGATTAGAATTTCCATTGCTAAGCAAGGCAGTTTTTTTTTAACCTGGTTTTATAACCTTTTTTTTTTGACATGGTTGTTAACGGAATCACTGCAGATGTTAACTGGGCTACGTAGTCGTTAAATGAATCTGATGTCTCCCATTTGGCTTTGTCAGAAACCAGCTGAGAAGGTTGCAAATGGATCGTGTGACCCTAGGACACTGCAAAGGTCATAAATATACGCCCATGATGGTGAACCTATGGCACGTGTGCCAGAGGTGGCAAGCAGAGCTCTCTCTCTCGCCAGCTGCTCTTTTGGATTCCGACGTGCATACTGGTCTTTGTGTGCCTGAGTCAGGGGTTCACAGAGGTTTGGCCGATCCTCTAGCGAAGATTCTGTGCGGTTCGGTGAACCCCCAAATCCCACTCCTGACTGGCCCTGCCCACCACCCCCTCTCCTCCCAGGAGTCTCCACGCAGTCCATTCATCATGCCACATAAGTGCAGGGCCTGCGTGGAGACTTGTGGGGGGGGGGGGAATGGGCTTACCGGAAGTCCGTAAACAGGCCTGGGGAAGCAGTTTTCACCCTCCCAGAGGCTCCAGGAAAGCCTCCGGAGCCTGGGGAGGGTGAAAAAGCTTCCCCCCCCCCCGCTGTGGAGTAGGAGGCCAACTAGGCCATGCCCACCATGGCCACGCCCAGTGTTAGGTAAGCTCCCCGTTGGGAGAGCAAGTACGTTCAGCGAAGCGTTGTGAGAGTTGTGTTGGAGAACACACAAACCAGC